GGGGGGGGGGGGGGGGTAGGAGTAACATCAGAGGAGAAAAATTGGAGAGGATGAACAAAAGAGTGATTCAGAGATGTAAAAGAGACAGACAGACACAAGGGCAGAAAAGAGGTAAGATAAGTACTGGAGAAGCGGTTAAATATGACATGGAGTCGGGTCACGGAAATTTGAAGTCAGAAGTCAACTGCCGGTTAATAGACTTTTTGCCGTATGAGTATACGTTGCCCAGGGTGCATCTCGTGGAGGTAAGTCTATTGCATGAGTATACGTTGCCCAGGGTGCACTCCGTGGTGGTATATGAGTATACGTTGCCCAGGGTGTACCACGTGGAGGTAGGAGTCACGTTTCCAAGCCATTTAATAGACTTTTTTGCCGTATGAGTATACATTGCCCAGGGCGTACCACGTGGAGGTAAGTCTATCGCACACCCCACATTGCTATTTCGCACAACGTGGAGGTAAGTCTATCGCACACCCCATTCATTAAATATATCACGGAGGTAAGTCTATCGCACACCCCGTATTTTAGACTTTTTTGTCGCATGAGTATACGTTGCCCAGGGTGTTAGACTTTTTTGCCGTATGAGTATACGTTCCCCAGGGTGCAGTTAATAGACTTTTTGCCGTATGAGTATACGTTGCCCAGGGTGCATCTCGTGGAGGTAAGTCTATCCTTCACCCCACCATTAGGATTTGACCCAATCTATTCGTCAAATTATTGCCAGGAATACACTGGTTCACAGCACCTCTTTTGGTGTTACTTACTTTTCATGACTCAAGAAGTGTCCTTTGGACTATACTCAGGACAAGGCATCGGTTTTTTTGGCCTGGTAAAATTTTCTTCTCGCTAGAAAAGAACCACATTATTTGGGCTTTGGGAAGATTTAAAATTTTTAAGAAGTATCTTAACTTCTGCCAGTTCACTTCCATGGCATTTTATGATGTGCGTAAGTGACCTCTGCGACATTCCCATGACTGCACTTACAGCCCCAGTGGTCCAATTCATGAAATCCAATTCACGTTTGTGTATTTTCAGTGTATTGAGGTGGTATTGAGCATCAACCATTGTCTCCTTAATCCGATAGCCTGTGTAGCCTATCGTGATACAAGTTAGTCTCGTTAGTCACCGTTATCGGTTTTGATCTTTTCAGAGAAGTCTTTCTTGCGCGAACTTCTCTTAATACACCTAGAGAAATGACTAAATATTATTCTCTAAAATTTATTCCAAAAGTCATGCTTCGTGGAGAAACAAAGTAAAGATAACATTGACCAACATCGGATATATTCAAGTCGCCGCATATGGGATAGTTGTACTTATGAATTGGTCAAACGTGGGAAAAAATAACACAAGAGAGGGTCTGCTAAAAGCCTCTGAAGTAAAGGGAATCTATTAATGCCTATCAAATCCATGTTGGTTCTGCGTCGAAATGCATGCAACTGTATTCCCAACCAGCACTTCTTTGGCTGCTCCAAAAACCTTCAACAACAAAGTTCTCTGTAGTTCAAACGTTTAACTCGTTTAACTCCCTTATCTTAACAGTCCCGCCTCTGATTAGGTCTCTGTTTTTACCCCACAATTTCTAAATCAATGCCCCCACATCCAAAAGACATATCATACTAGGTATGTGTTATTTTTGTTTGTAATTGCAGACAATTTTATTGAGCAAGAAGGAGTAAACGACGGATAAGTTGGACCCATTTGGTCCAAAATGAATGGATATAGTTTTGGGGAAAGGAGGTTAGTTGTAATTCAGTGTTTAATACGGCATTTACTCGCCTCAGTCGTCATCCTTTTCATCATCATTCACCAGTTTCTTCGCATATTCTTTGATCGCCGACTTGGCTTTCTTTCTGACGATTTTGAAGAAATCCAAAATCTCATGGAAGACTTTAGTCATCTTTTTTCCTGCAGGATCGCTCTTAAAGAATTCCTTCAGTTCACCAAATCGCTTCAACATCTGTTTTGTGTACATATCTGGGGTGTCTTCCTCACTGAAAGCAAAGAAAACAACACATTATTCACAATTGACGCAGAAAATGCCTTTAGTTGTATCGAGAATATTCCATTTGGCATTATATTAACAGCAGAAGTAAGGGATACTCCATATCATGTATTTTCGGAATAGAGAAATGGATAAACTAAAGTGAAAACGATATAACTTTATAGAAAAAGCTGTGATTTTGATTTTTTCCCAATTAGAGGCTCTACTAATTGCAGATGGGTGCAACACATCCATTCATTCTTTATAATGACACAATTTCAAATTTCACCTCTCTTCCAACTTGAAATACATTTAAAAGAAGGCATGAAATTGATTTTTTATGACGACACAAATGGTACAAAACTTATCTTCGTCCAAATTAGGGCAGTTTTCTCAATTGTCTCGAGAACACTTCTTCAATGGAAATGAAATCTCAAGCAACCAGAAGTAATCAGTGTCAAAGGCGAACACACTGGAAGCATTGAACTAGAGGAAGCCTAGCTTTTCAAAAAACACTTATTTGGTCATTCAACTAATTTGGCAACTTCAATATTTTAAGCCATAGGATGCGCGATGGACTTTCCTTCATCTAGTGCACAGTTGACTTCTAACTTCAAGCCACCATGACCTCACTGCATGTCATATTTTACCACTTCCCCAGCACTCACCATACCCCACTCTCAACCTTTGTGTCTGTCTCTTTTACATCTGTGAATCACTCTTCTGTTCCAACTCTCGACTTTTCGTGACTTTGATACTCCTTCTCTCTGTGAAGCCCGAAGTCAAATAATGAGCTAATGCTAACAATTTCAATGCCTGCTATTTAATACAAATAAATAAATATTCACACACTACCTTATTAACAACAGCAAACAATTGCCCAAGATAAGTTTCCGAGAACAAAGAATTTAATTTAGAAAAAATAGGAATGGAGCCAAAAACAAAAGAATGTGGAAACTCACGCTTTGGTGACAGCAAGGAAGGCTACAAGAGTGATGGCAGCAAGTACGAATGGTCTCATTGTAAACTAGTTGAAGAAGTTGACGCAGATAGTGACGAATTGTGATGCCTTTATATACCATTCGACTTTGTTTGAGGCCGCGGAAACATAAACTGGTCCTGTAAACGTTGACCTCTAAAAGAACTTACATTTTTTTCTTCGTAAAATTTTACGAACCAAATGCATCTACATATCTCAACAAGCGATAATGACCAAAATTGTATGTCGTATTTCATTATGAGCAGATAGCAAACCCCTCCATTTGCAGTATAGATTTGCATTTCTTTTCAAATATCATGATAAACTTCTGGTGCAAGAAAAAGATCCATGGTAATAATTTTTTCCAAGCGTCATTAATGTCTTCGTAAATTGATTAAACGTCAGGCAAAAGATAAAAGTGTAATTAACTTATTATTATTATGATGATGATGAGATGAAGCACATTAATAGATTCCAAATAGGGCTATCTCTTAACGCCACCTTCTAAATGGCCAAATATTTCATGTCGTGGAAAAAGTCATGGGAGCTACTTTCAAAAGCGTTTAATTTCCCCTTAACTTGTAATTATTTCCAGTGAGTTTTTTTTGCCACAATTTTTCAGCATCCTTGTTGATTGAGGTAAGATGATAGTGAAAGTAGATAAAAAATTGGAGTGCTTATTCTGTTTACTCCAATTGACCGGTTGGTAATCCTTCATGTAATTTTGTTTTTTTTTAAAAAAATAACATTAAAAATGGTGCCCTTTCACTCACTGTAGATTATATTAATCCTTTCAGATGGAGAACAGTCTGACATTATTTTAATGGAGCTATGCAAATTCCCGACTAAAGGGAAAGAACAAAGACTAATTCTCCTTATTTGAATCCTAACTGGAAATAGTGTAGCCGATCCAACCATTTTTTGCGGGAAATAATCTAACCCTAATTAGCGATTTATTTAAGTGAGAAAAGCGTTGGTCGACTATTCTTCGCCTTAAGGTTGCCACAAGATAGGGAGTGGGTGATGTTAATGTCAGAGGATGCGTAGGTAGGAGGAAACAACTAGAAAATACCAGACAACAGAAACGTCATTGCTGGAGAGAATTAATAAGAAAGCCCATTGACCTTTCTAAATCGCGGTAACTTTGTCGCCCGTCGAAATAGGTAGGACAGAAGTGATGGTAAGTACTGAAGTGGAGATGGAACACAGGGATGGGAATGAGGGGAACAGAAGTCTTCCAACTAAAAGGCCAAATGTTGGTTTTGTGATGTAGTAAAGCACATAACACAAGTGTTATAAGATATTGGTAGTCAATGTGCTTTCGAAAAAAGGGAGAAATTGTAAGAGAATGAATAGTAGATGCATGTAGTTATTGTTGATCAAGATATTTATTTATTTATATAAATGGCAGGAGTTCTGATAGTTATCATTAGCCCTTTAGTTGACTTCAGGCTTCACAGAGGGGAAGGAACATCAAAGTGGAAAAAAGTCGAGAGGGGGGGGGAACAGAAGAGTGCTTCAAAGACGAAGGTAGAAAAAAAGTGAGGTGAGTACTGTGAAGTAGTCGAATATGGCATGCAGTGGGGTCATGGCAGTTTAAAGTGAGAAGTCAACTGCCCATTGACTGACTTTTTTGTCGTATGAATATACATTGCCCAGGGTGCACCACGTGGAGGTAAGTCTATCGCACACCACTTGATCAAGACATAATAATATAGGTATGGAAGTTGCATTTTCTCCAAGCCACTGCGGGTGGGAAAATAAGGCCGAACTTGGAGTTTAACCGCGCCACCGTGATAGTTAAGTACTAGGACGCATAAACGTATGAGATCAAGGTGACAATTATAAACTATGATTTACTTCATTAGAATGTTTTAGATCTCATATTTTCCATGTGAACTCAGTAAAATCAAAGATGGTTACTTGAATTAAGCTTTTGATGAAATAAGCAATTAACAGGAAGCTAGATTTTATATATTTGCGCATTATTTATTAAGTTTATGGTAAAAAGCTGATCTTTCAAGGATTTGGTGGCACAGAATTCAAGCAAGATTGAAAAAAAGCAATTTTGTGCACACTCAAGCATTCTAGAGGGCGCCCTCGTGCAGAGATCTTCTTAGCTAATCAGCTAGTAATATTTATTCAAATTACTAGTCAAATACTAGCCATGTCTGCCGTGAACATAATTAGCAATACTATACTTCTGTTGGGTCTCTACGGTTGAGGTTGCTTAGCTAATTCCGAGAGTCTTTCCATACTAGGGCATTTTGCCATAGAAGTTATCGAGGAAAAGTCGAGGCTTGCTTCCATGACAATCCGCCACATAATTAATGATTCTGATGTGATCTATTAAAGCTGATGAGATATGCTAACGTGGCTTGATCGGCTCACCCGAAACCCCATCTCTTCATGGTGCTGTGGTAATTTCCTTTTTCATTTCGTAGAGCACATGTAGTGCTCCTATTCCTTTTCTAACAACTAACACCGGTGTGTCCACTCTCCACCTTCGTCACCTCCTAATGCCAACAAATGTCTGCAGAAAGAGATTTCAGTACGAATCCACTAGACGAGATCACATTTTTCTATTTTCGATCCAAGAAACTCACTCATTTGGTTCGTACAGGGGGATATTAGATTTCAAATGTACTCTCCCAGCTAATTTCGCTGCACAACTTTGTCATGACCAACCCAAAAGAGGCTTTTATCAATCTTCAACCTGTTTCTCGGGTGAAGTGTATTCAACACCTTTTCTCACTAGTCGATTTAGGAGATTGCACTCGTTCACAGCTCTCTCTCTCCAAACTGATACCTTACCAGACGACTCAGTTTTGAAACAACTTTGGACTAGGTGCCTTCCTACATGCATGATAGCATGTATGATATCAAAACTTACAGATCCAACCTCGATGAATAAGCTTACGTAGCATACATGATTCAAGAACTCTAAATTCAGGATTTGCGTTGGAAACCACAATTCCCAACAACTTAACCTCATAGCAACCTGACATCCTTACAAAACTTTTGCAGAAAATAGAATCTACCTTGTCAAACTTTACCAATCCGTGTGACATCAGCTCTTCAAAGCACTGAAATCAAATCTGCTTCTATCATTTAACGTACGAAGTCGACACCAAGAAGTGTAACCGGATTGCAAATATCCCAGTGTCGGCAGTGCCCACTTCAAAAGGAAACCCTAACGGTTCTAAAGTCAGTGTCATTTTCATTCTGCCAAGAGATGCCTTTTCAACCCATCTATCTGTACCTACATGTAACAAAGAACCATTTTAGACACTTTCTCCTTCTGTTAGCACCACCATACGCTAATATTTGTGCATGATAGAGTCTCTTGAGCATAATTATTAACAATTCTTAATGATAGTCAACTCACCAAATAAATCCCAAATAGATTCAAGAAAATCCTCTAAGGAACTTCCATATCTCATGTACAAGGTGCCATTCATAACCTTCTGCCTGAACATTCCACTATCGCAATCAGGAGAGTGACGAGAGCAAGAGGAAAATGGTAATTCCTACACCAGTGAACCAGTTAAATCTGTCTAAATCTGTTACCCAACACATGAGTCCTTAATAAGATTTCAACAATGAAAACTCACAAGCCGACAACATTATCGCGTTCATTCCAATCAGGTGGCAACTGCACCAAATACTTCAGAGACGGTACACGTCAATTTGTGAAGTTTTTTCCCAAACTCCATCTCCGTCTACCATACTGCATGCCTTCAATCATAGAGAACAATCATCAATCTTTCCGGAGCACGTGCAAAGGAGGCGTCATCAGCTAACGCCTAATGATTTATTGCGAAGACTGATTTTATGCACTCTCTTTTGCCCTCTCTGGCGTCAATCCCCTAAGTAACTCCCATTCAACCCCTTCTACCCTTTCCCTCTCACAGACTGCTAAAAGCACTCAACTAATATTCCTACTCGGTCTTTGAAGCACGCCCTTCGCCCTTTCACACCATACCCACTCTACGTATGTTTCCTCTAACCAATTCAGGTGGCTTTACTAACACCCGGGAGCCTTTCCATACTATGGTATTTTGTTAGAGGGATTACTGAAGGTTAGTCACGGCTAATTTTTGTAGCATTGAGCTATAGATTCGACGAGGATTTGTGGACAAGTTAATTCAAAATTTTAATTCATTAATTGCTGAACAAATTTGATTCCCCATCTTTGCTTCGCTTTCAATATTGGTTAAAAGAAATTAGAGTAAACTTTCATTACAGTAAATTAATATCGGTCTAATACTCTTCAAAAGATCGCGACTAGATTCAACGCTACTTTATTTCTAATACACACACCTTTGTTTGAAATAATTCTTTAAATATTCACTATAAATATAATTAATAACTTTTCTGATCAACGTTTATTCATGGTGGATTAAGATACAGTTGAACGTTTGTTTACATAATGATCACCCAGCATAAACTAGTTCAAATCTTGCTTAAACACAAGAATTCGTAAATATGTGCTAATGGACAAAAGCACACCATCTTTAAGACATTACCAAATTGAACCTCCCACTCAAAGCATATTTACGCTCAAATTAATTGTTTATACGATATAATCATAACAGGAATCTCAAAGGGGATATAAAAGGGTGGCAATTTTCCGAATCAGCATTCAGTACCAACCTCCACACACACACAAATACACGCACAATGAGAACATTCTGTCTTATCGCTCTCGTCGTCCTCGCTCTCGTAGCTGTTACCCAGGCGTAAGATTTTCTAATTATTTCTATTGTGCTTAATTAAACTCAACTTAAAGCTTGGGACTACTAAGTTATCGTCTCACTTTCTCTTTCCAACCTCCTTTAGAGATGAGGAAAATGTTGACTTTAAGAGGACTGTGATGATGAAGTTGGCTGAAGTGAAGAAATTCTTCTCCGACGATCCTGCAGGCAAGAAACTCCGCGAGATTGCCATGGACGTGGGCATTTTCGGCAAAATGATGAGAATGAAAATTCGCGGAGCTCTGAAAGAATACGTTAAAAATCTACTGAAGGAAGGTCAATAGAAAATTGTGTATTTACTAACTTCTTTCAATGGAAATAAAAATTCTCCATTAACTCCTTACAAAATGCCTTCATAAATGTTATATATATATATATATATATATATATATATAT